AACAGTTACAGTTGAAGAAAGCCCTGTTGAAGAAGAAAAACCAGAACAAATACAAGAAGTTCCGGAAGAAGTTCGGGTTATTGAATCTATCGCAGAAGATGGTAAACCGAAAAAGAAAACTATTCGTACTCGTGTCATTAAGAAAGTTAAGGGTGACAAACAAGAAGTTACGAAAATTGAAACAGTTCAAGAAGATGACAAACAACCTCAAACAACAGTTACGGTTGAAGAAAGCCCTGTTGAAGAAGAAAAACCAGAACAAATACAAGAAGTTCCGGAAGAAATTCGGGTTATTGAATCAATCGCGGAAGATGGTAAACCGAAAAAGAAAACTATTCGTACTCGTGTCATTAAGAAAGTTAAGGGTGACAAACAAGAAGTTACGAAAATTAAAACTGTTCAAGAAGATGACAAACAACCTGAAACAACAGTTACGGTTGAAGAAAGTCCTGCTCAAAAAGAAAAACCAGAACAAATACAAGAAGTTCCGGAAGAAGTTCGTATTATTGAATCAATCGCAGAAGACGGTAAACCGAAGAAGAAAACTATTCGTACTCGTGTCATTAAGAAAGTTAAGGGTGGCAAACAAGAAGTTACGAAAATTGAAACTGTTCAAGAAGATGACAAACAACCTGAAACAACAGTTACGGTTGAAGAAAGTCCTGCTCAAGAGGAAAAACCAGAACAAATACAAGAAGTTCCGGAAGAAGTTCGTATTATTGAATCAATCGCAGAAGATGGTAAACCGAAAAAGAAAACTATTCGTACTCGTGTCATTAAGAAAGTTAAGGGTGGCAAACAAGAAGTTACGAAAATTGAAACTGTTCAAGAAGATGACAAACAACCTGAAACAACAGTTACGGTTGAGGAAAGTCCTGCTGAAAAAGAAAAACCAGAACAAATACAAGAAGTTCCGGAAGAAGTTCGTGTTATTGAATCAATCGCAGAAGACGGTAAACCGAAAAAGAAAACTATTCGTACTCGTGTCATTAAGAAAGTTAAGGGTGGCAAACAAGAAGTTACGAAAATTGAAACTGTTCAAGAAGATGACAAACAACCTGAAACAACAGTTACGGTTGAAGAAAGTCCTGCTGAAGAAGAACAACCAGAACAAATACAAGAAGTTCCGGAAGAAGTTCGTGTTATTGAATCAATCGCAGAAGATGGTAAACCGAAAAAGAAAACTATTCGTACTCGTGTCATTAAGAAAGTTAAGGGTGACAAACAAGAAGTTACGAAAATTGAAACTGTTCAAGAAGATGACAAACAACCTGAAACAACAGTTACAGTTGAAGAAAGTCCTGCTGAAGAAGAAAAACCAGAACAAATACAAGAAGTTCCGGAAGAAGTTCGTGTTATTGAATCCATCGCAGAAGATGGTAAACCGAAAAAGAAAACTATTCGTACTCGTGTCATTAAGAAAGTTAAGGGTGACAAACAAGAAGTTACGAAAATTGAAACTGTTCAAGAAGATGACAAACAACCTGAAACTACAGTTACAGTTGAAGAAACTCCTGCTGAAGAGGAAAAACCAGAACAAATACAAGAAGTTCCGGAAGAAGTTCGTGTTATTGAATCAATCGCAGAAGATGGTAAACCGAAAAAGAAAACTATTCGTACTCGTGTCATCAAGAAAGTTAAGGGTGACAAACAAGAAGTTACGAAAATTGAAACTGTTCAAGAAGATGACAAACAACCTGAAACAACAGTTACAGTTGAAGAAAGACCAGTCGAAGAAGAAAAACCAGAACAAATACAAGAAGTTCCGGAAGAAGTTCGTGTTATTGAATCAATCGCAGAAGATGGTAAACCCAAAAAGAAAACTAATCGTACTCGTGTCATCAAGAAAGTTAAGGGTGACAAACAAGAAGTTACGAAAATTGAAACTGTTCAAGAAGATGACAAACAACCTGAAACAACAGTTACGGTTGAAGAAAGTCCTGTTGAAGAAGAAAAACCAGAACAAATACAAGAAGTTCCGGAAGAAGTTCGTATTATTGAATCAATTGCGGAAGATGGTACACCGAAAAAGAAAACTATTCGTACTCGTGTCATTAAGAAAGTTAAGGGTGACAAACAAGAAGTTACGAAAATTGAAACTGTTCAAGAAGATGACAAACAACCTGAAACAACAGTTACAGTTGAAGAAAGTCCCGCTGAAGAAGAAAAACCAGAACAAATACAAGAAGTTCCGGAAGAAGTTCGTGTTATTGAATCAATCGCAGAAGATGGTAAACCGAAAAAGAAAACTATTCGTACTCGTGTCATTAAGAAGGTTAAGGGTGACAAACAAGAAGTTACGAAAATTGAAACTGTTCAAGAAGATGACAAACAACCTGAAACCACAGTAACGGTTGAAGAAATTCCTGCTGAAGAAGAACAGCCAGAACAAATACAAGAAGTTCCGGAAGAAGTTCGTGTTATTGAATCAATCGCAGAAGATGGTAAACCGAAAAAGAAAACTATTCGTACTCGTGTCATTAAGAAAGTTAAGGGTGACAAACAAGAAGTTACGAAAATTGAAACTGTTCAAGAAGATGACAAACAACCTGAAACAACAGTTACGGTTGAAGAAAGTCCTGCTGAAGAAGAAAAACCAGAACAAATACAAGAAGTTCCGGAAGAAGTTCGTGTTATTGAATCAATCACAGAAGATGGTAAACCGAAAAAGAAAACTATTCGTACTCGTGTCATTAAGAAAGTTAAGGGTGACAAACAAGAAGTTACGAAAATTGAAACTGTTCAAGAAGAAGACAAACAACCCGAAACTACAGTTACGGTTGAAGAAATACCTGCTGAAGAGGAAAAACCAGAACAAATACAAGAAGTTCCGGAAGAAGTTCGAGTTATTGAATCAATTGCAGAAGATGGAAAACCGAAAAAGAAAACAATTCGGACTCGTGTCATCAAGAAAGTTAAGGGTGACAAACAAGAAGTTACGAAAATTGAAACTGTTCAAGAAGACGACAAACAACCCGAAACAACAGTTACGGTTGAAGAAATACCTGCTGAAGAGGAAAATCCAGAACAAATACAAGAAGTTCCGGAAGAAGTTCGTATTATTGAATCAATCGCGGAAGATGGTAAACCGAAAAAGAAAACTATTCGTACTCGTGTCATTAAGAAGGTTAAGGGTGACAAACAAGAAATTACGAAAATTGAAACTGTTCAAGAAGATGACAAACAACCTGAAACAACAGTTACTGTTGAAGAAATTCCTGCTGAAGAGGAAAAACCAGAACAAATACAAGAAGTTCCGGAAGAAGTTCGTGTTATTGAATCAATCGCAGAAGATGGTAAACCGAAAAAGAAAACTATTCGTACTCGTGTCATTAAGAAGGTTAAGGGTGACAAACAAGAAGTAACGAAAATTGAAACTGTTCAAGAAGATGACAAACAACCTGAAACAACAGTTACGGTTGAAGAAAGTCCTGCTGAAGAGGAAAAACCAGAACAAATACAAGAAGTTCCGGAAGAAGTTCGGGTTATTGAATCAATTGCAGAAGATGGTACACCCAAAAAGAAAACTATTCGTACTCGTGTCATTAAGAAAGTTAAGGGTGACAAACAAGAAGTTACAAAAATTGAAACTGTTCAAGAAGATGACAAACAACCTGAAACAACAGTTACGGTTGAAGAAAGCCCTGCTGAAGAAGAACAGCCAGAAGAAATACAAGAAGTTCCGGAAGAAGTTCGTGTTATTGAATCAATCGGAGAAGATGGTAAACCGAAAAAGAAAACAATTCGTACTCGTGTCATTAAGAAACTAAAGGGTAACAAACAAGAAATTACAAAAGTGGAAACTGTAGAGGAAGACGGTAAGGAGCCAGAAAGTGTTGTTGTTGTTAAAGAGATACCAATTACTGAACTAGATTCTGAAATTAAAGAGGATTTCAAAGGATATCCTCTTAAACTTAAAAAAACTGTTCGTATTAAAAAGCCTTCAGATGATGAATTCATAGTGGAGTTGCCGGAACAAAAATCTATAATTATTTCGCAAAAAGAGGATGGAACGCCTACAAAAACCGTAATTAAGACTAAGATAATCAAAAAAGTGAAAGGCGCGAAGATGGAAATTACCAAAATACAAACTACAGAAGAGTTTGAAAAATTGCCTGTTACTAAAGTTACAGTTGAGGAGTTTAATGCACCATTTCCTGAAGTTATTGAAGAAAAAATTAATCCTGTTTTCGAATTGCCAGAAATAGTTTCCCAGCAAATATTTGATGATGGAGAAGAGTCTAAAATCATAAAAACCAAAAAGAGAGTTTTCAAGAAACCGAAAGAAAATGTTGTCGAGGTTACTGAAATCGATTCGGTACAGATAAATGATGAGAAGCCGCAGTTTTCTGTAACTGTAAGCGAAGAGCCAAAATCAGATGCTGACACATTCGGACCCATTTTAACAGTTGAATATCCTGAACAAAGTTCCGTTATTGATGAAAAAACGTCAGATGGTAAAATAAAACAAAAAAAGGTTAAAACGCGAAGCTTTAAAAAACATATCGATGATGGCAATGATGAGTTAATTACACTGCAAATTATTATTGACGATGATAAAGTGCATACCTCAGTTGAAGAAGAAGTTGTTCCATCAGAAGAATTTTTAATAGAGGCAACACCTATTATAGAGCTGCCAAGCAAGATTGTTGAATCAGATACAATAGATGAAGACAAAAAAATGAAAAAGAAAGTCACTAAAACCAGAACATTCAAAAAAATGAATACTGAACAACCTGAAATATATCAAATACAAACTATTGAAGAAGAAGGAAAAGTACCTTTTTCAATAGTTCGTGTGGTTAGTGATGAAAACATATCAGATATTATTGACATAAGTTTACTAGATGATGAAACTCAAAAACCAAAATCAAAACATAGGGGTAAGATAACACACATACACTATACACATATTTACTTCTCATTAACGTATCATTAGTTACATACAATTTTGAACAACTATCTTTAAGCAAATTTAATTCGTTTTTCGTTGTTCTATTCTATCATTGATCTTTCTTTAGTTATTTATATAACTACGCTTAAATTGAATTGTTTTAATCTACCTTTCTCGAAATTTCATATTTATTTATCAATTTTTGTCTAAACATTAAAATTCAAACAGAGAAAAAACAAAAATTACAAAACACTGAGTCGGATACACCAATTTTCATTACTACATTTAAATCAGTTCAAAACGAAGAAGGCGAAACAATAATTCAGACAGAAAATAAAAAAGTTACGCAGGATGAAGACGTGTTAGTTGAGGAAGTGCTCAGCGATAATGAACAAATGCCAGAAAGTATTTCAACTGTCCCTACAAATGTTCAAATTACCGAAGTCATGGATACTCCAGGTGAATTAACTATTTTCTTTAAATTTCATCTTCTATATTTTCACGTAAGATTACATTTTGTTTCTCTTATGAAACGTTTATTCAGAACACAAATCTATTCGTTTTATACATAAAAATACAACATATACAAATATATTTGCTAAAACACCTATATATAATATAATAAATATATTTATATACATGTGAATGCGCAAATTTATTTTAAAAAAAGACATTATTTAAAGAGGAATAAACTATTTACAAGAGAACAAATAATGAAAAGGAATATCTTCTTAGGAACCGTATAAATTTAATTGCTATTAAAACTTATAAGTTCTTATTTGTACCGCAAAATTAATTAAAGACTAAATTTATATTTATAAAACTTTTACGTTAATATATGGTATAAGCTAACCAATAGTTTTGAACACATATTTTATATTCGTATATATTTACTAAATCAAATATGAAATCTGTAAATCCATCAAACCATTGAGTTATACAAAGGTAAACATATCGTAAATTAATGTACACCAAACGTATTTAACAAAGCTATAAACCTTTCTTTAAACATAAAAGTTAGAATGGAGCTAACTTCAAGATAAATTTTCTCTTGCACAGACCAAGACAGCAAAGAGTACACTATCATAGAACCAGATGATGAAACACCACAAACACCAAAAACAAAAAAACAAAAACACACAATAACTTTCGAAACGACAGAAGAAAAGCAGGAAATCCAAGAAGATTCGCCGACATATTTTGTGTCCGAAAACGACTATGAAACAAATCTTAAGAAATCTCCTATACCTATAACGACGGACAAGACAGACAAGAAAACTAGACTAGACGAAATAACTGATATTCCAGAAATATCAATTTCAGAACTAGACTCTACATTTAGTAAGCCTATAAAAAAAATTATACGTACACGTACAGTTAAAAAAGTTAAGGGTGACAAACAAGAAGTTACGAAAATTGAAACTGTTCAAGAAGATGACAAACAACCTGAGACCACAGTTACGGTTGAAGAAATTCCTGTTGAGGAAGAAAAACCAGAACAAATACAAGAAGTTCCGGAAGAAGTTCGTGTTATTGAATCAATCGCAGAAGATGGTAAACCGAAAAAGAAAACTATTCGTACTCGTGTCATTAAGAAAATTAAGGGTGACAAACAAGAAGTTACGAAAATTGAAACTGTTCAAGAAGATGACAAACAACCTGAAACAACAGTTACGGTTGAAGAAAGCCCCGTTGAAGAAGAAAAACCAGAACAAATACAAGAAGTTCCTGAAGAAGTTCGTGTTATTGAATCAATTACAGAAGATGGAAAACCGAAAAAGAAAACTATTCGTACTCGTGTCATTAAGAAAGTTAAGGGTGACAAACAAGAAGTTACGAAAATTGAAACTATTCAAGAAGATGACAAACAACCTGAAACTACAGTTACGGTTGAAGAAATACCAGTCGAGGAAGAACTACCAGAACAAATACAAGAAGTTCCGGAAGAAGTTCGTGTTATTGAATCAATCGCAGAAGATGG